CCTCCCATTTTCACCTCAAAATTATGGGGAAGCTGTGCCTACCCTGACGAGCTGCCACTGGTCATAACGTAGATTGGCTTAATTTGAATCTGAAAAGTAAGACCAATTACCCCTTGGCTAACTGCTAGTTGGTCAGACTAGTTCTTAAAGGGGTGGATCAGTGTTTTTTTTCTAGGCTTGATTGTGTTTATGGGGTGCAGTCTAACATGTGTTAATGCTTCGTTTTTAAAAAAAAAACATTATTTTTCACATAATTTACCTTTATTCCACACCGCTCAGTCCCTTCTCTGAAAAACACGCTGATCATTTCCTGCTTTTATGAAGCCCCGCCCTCAGAAATAGGCGATGAGCTGTAAACAAAGGCGTTGTTAATATTGCTTATCAGTTTGAGCCCAATTGAGAAGCTGAGGATATTATTGAAGAGGATCATGCAGAACCTGTTTGTTGTTGTCTCATACTTTTAGATACGCTGTTATTTGTAAATGCTACTGCTTATGTTAGCTTTTAATATACGGTTTCATCCTGATTAAAGCTTTAATACAGTACGGCAACTGCACGCGCATCCATGTTTAAAATAAGTGTATAATTGGAGCAGTTCATTGTTGGAGCTGAGCTGAATGAGAGAGAGAGAGATGCAGAGCGTGTGCAGATGCTTTAGAACATTGATTTTGAAACTTGTGAATCCATTAGAATCATTAGAAGACAGAATCGGGATTCATATATAAATAGATTTTTACGTGCACCTCTAGTTTTCTCTTCCTCTTCAATTGTAACAGTTCATTGTTGGAGCTGAGCTGAATGTGAGAATGAGAGAGAGAGAGAGAGAGATGCAAAGCGTGTGCAGAGCAGGGGACCGCGAGGAACAGGATTGAGAACCGCTGCTTTAGAACATTGATTTTGAGAATCGCGATTCATATATGAATAGATTTTTACGTGCACCCCTAGTTTTCGCTTCCTCTTCTCTTATGCAGCGCAGCATGGCCTCGCCCCCTTTGCTGCCTTTTCCCGAGGGCGGGGTTTATCTGGGTTTGTGATGTCATGAACCCGGGAAGTAACTTGTTGTAGTCCCTACCAGCCATTTTTGTAGGCATTAAACTGCCAGAATTTTAAAAGATGATATCTCCGTTTGCATTGAACTTTCAGCTTCATAACTTTGCAGATATTGTTTATGCTCAAAAAGCAACATTACACACTAACTAACGTTAAAAAAAGTGAAATCGCAATGAACCACCCCTTTAAGACACATAGTGGCTGCTTATGCTGACCTCAGAATATCATGGAGACTTGCAGATGGGTTATTTTGACCTGGGCCAGAAAGCAGCCACACATAAAATGCTAGAAAAAAGTACTTGAAACAGTATTCAGCTGTCATCATTAGTCAGATCTCCATCATAGGGCCATAAATGCTAAGCATCTCACACTGGGACATTTATAAATTCAATTCACACCAAGTTAATGTGACATCTGTAGCCCCAGCTGTATATCTCCAGTGAGATTTTTAACCTTGAACATTGCTCTTTAGCTTCAGCTGCCCATCGTATGGCTCTTCCCATGATGCCCGCCTCTGCCTGACTCAGTCAGCATGTTTCCTGCACCCCCTGAGTGAAGCTGAGGAAATGATGAAATCCCACTGCAACAGTGGTGCACATTTTTTTGCCTGTAACTCACTACACAGACATTTAGTAAAGGGTCTGCTTCAGGATGGGTTTGGTAGAGATGATGCTGTTGGCCTTTAATGTATAACTAGAGGTTCTTAAGAGGTTCCTGTACTTTCCCAGTGCATTAGTGCTGGATGAGCACTTGTGTTTTTAAGGTGTTCTGCTTGGAAAGCAATGGTTAAAGACAACATTCCTTCAGTAGACATTAATATGAAAACTGCAGGGAAAGTTGTCTCTCTTAGTCTTAGCTACCTTTGCCTCTGTTGACCTGATTCAATGTGATCTTTCAGTTCTCCTGAAACTCTGTGGTTGACTTTTGCATGGTTTACATGTCTGAGGGACACTTTGATAAACACAGATTAAATTTAAAGCTTAATTCAAAGATCGCTAATGTTCCAGACCTGTTTTAATATTGCGTGTGACATGATGTTTGCATAACTAAAAGGAAAAAAATTTAAAGGTAGCATTTTGTTAGCCAATTTTGGAAAAAAACATCTGGTAAACCCAAATGTTTGTATAGAGGTTACTTTTTTTCCATTAGATTAAACTTTAAGCAGGCATCAGCAGCGGTGCTGGGAAGTAACTAACTAGCAATGTTACTAACTTAACTACATTTTTCAGCACTGTGACAGTAGTTTATCTTTTTTTTCCCCAGTAACAAGCTACATTTTTCATATAAAAAGTAATAAAATGCTGCATCACTATTTTTGTCACACTGCATTGCGCACAGAACTTTACAGCTGAATGAACTACAGCATATGCTCTCCTAGAATGCTCTTCTTTCTTTTTTATGTGTAGCAATAGAACGCCAGTTTAATCAGGTGCATCAGTTCATTTGGGTGGTTTATGTAAATATTTGAATGTAATACTTTGCATTGTTTATTATTTTAAATATAAAATATTATGATATTAATAAATATAATAAAATATATAAACATAATTATATGATTATATTATATGATGAATAAATATTCTTATTATAAGAATAAAATAAGAATAAGAATAAAATATTTATCATTATCATTACAAAAAAATACCTGTACACTATGTAGGTCTTTTTGTTTATAGTGAAATATTAACCTGATGGGGTTTTTTTCTCCTAAGTTATTCATTATATTGGTATGTTTTCTAGTTTTAGCTATATAAATGTATCTGTTCAAGTTTAATGTTGTCACTCTTAATAGAAATCCATTCATTCATTCATTCATATTAATGTGTGATTAAAAGCTGTGATTAAAGTTTGATATTATAATTATAAAAGGTATTGCCTGTTAAACAGCTTTGTTGTTTGGTGGTTAGTAGCTTGTAGTGTAACTAACTACTATTCAAATGTAGCTGTAGTATATCGTGCAGTGTGACAAACTGCAGTTTTGAAGAATCTCCCCCAGCACTGATCTGCTGTCATCTCCAGATTGGAGTTACTCACTAGGCAATTACTGCGTTTCTGTGGAATCCTGCTGCAAGTCGCTGCATGTTTCATACTGTCTTAATATGCATGTGGTAAACTACATAAGCTACCTGTTGCAATCAGGACTCTAGACTGAAACATTTAACAATTACAGATTACAATTCAGTGATTAATTTGAATGTTGTATAATATATTGATACTTTAATGTATGGTATCATTCACTGTTTTTGTTGTTACAATGTTGTCACACTTGCTGTTTCTAGTCTTTTAGCTTTCCCACAGTCTGTGCAGACTACATTGTACAAGTATTCACTTGTTTGTCATAAGCACTTCCTTCTATTGTATGATCTTTCAACAGTTAATCAAATGTTGCATTTCACAATGTTTCCCCCCCCCATTCCCTCACCATTTACCAGACAGAGTTTGAGTTGCATTGTTTGTGTAGGTGCATTCAGGGTTTATACTGTTACCCTGCATTTATTATATTATATTATATTATATTATATTGACACACTAAGTGACATTTCCTTTTGTCTTCAGTGGGGTTCTAAAGAACCCCTTGTTCAATGCACTGCCCTACTTTCAAAACCACTTATGTGGTTTTAGTGTCTATATTTTCACACACTTATGATTTTTCCCATTATTTATTTCTTTTTTGTTGTTAAAACCAACATGTATTAAAAGTAATAGCATGTGACACTATAACTTTTCTTTCTTTCTTTATTTGCATGATTTTTTGATTCTGTTATGACGTCTATTTCTATAGCCCCGATTACAATCATAGGTTTTGAAAAATACCCCTCAGGGCACTGTAGATTATCTGAAGTGGTGTGGAACAATAGTGACCAGAACATGCCAGCACACACACAGGCATGTGGGGTACTCTGAGACACACAAAGCTGAGCAGGAGACAGGATCTTACTCCTTTTGTATGCATATTTAACTTAAATTCACTCAGATATAACCCAGACACACATACATGCATGTGCATGCACTCCTTTGCGTTGTTTTTAACAAAACTGAGATGGGTCTATAATCACATTTCACAGGAACGTATGAAAGCACAGGGGAAAAAAATTTTCAAAATGTTTTTTGGCTTAGTGTCAAAGGGAAAGGTGGAAATCGAGAGGGCTCACAATAGCCCCTCAGAAAACTTACACACATTTGTCTGCCACTTGACTTCTAGACAGTGTTTGTAAAATCGCCAGTCATTGTTTTTCCCGCCAAAGAGAGGAAGAGTTTTGAGTGAGGATTTTCTAGGTGCTGCCTTAAATTTTTTATGGGGCAGTTGATATGACACTAACTAACTAACTATTCATTCATTCATTCAGCATTACAATTTTAGCTTAGAATTTATATGTAAATGATCACCATTTTTAATCACCTTTGAAATTAATTTTGAATTAAATTAGCACAACCCACAGGAAGTTGAACTGGAATTTAAATTAAAACGACAGGACATAAAATGACACTAGTTTCAAGCATTTTAACTTTGTCTTTGAATTACAGTTCATTTTTCACTTTCGGATTCAATTAGCAATTCTGCAACCTCAATATAATAATTTTTTTTTTTTCCTTTTTCTCTGCCTACTTTTTGCTCTTCTGCTCTCTACACCTTACTTCATTAAGCACGTCCTGCATATGTAACGTTTATGTAATGTATTTTTATTTATTAAAATATTAGTATCAATACATTTTAGATTTTTGTTTTCTCAGTGACTACTTTTTTTTTTAGCTGTACAGTGAGGGTACAGCTTAACCCAACTGTGGTGGCAGTGAGACAGGTGTTCCTGTAGCATGCGTGTTTGCAAACATACACTTGCATATGTGGTTTTTATGTGTGCGTATTGTGGTCTGTGCCTTGTTATTTTGCACCCCCCTAGAACCCCTCGTATTTGTTTCTGTGGTTTAATTGGACTCATGTCTGTCTTTTTCCAACCACTTGCACTGTTTTTCTCTCAGTGACCCCTTTATTTCTGCTCTATTCTGTCACTTTTCATGTAAATCACTTCCTGCATATTGTGCTGCCATGAATAATTAACTTCACAAAGTTTGCACATTTGGTTTGGGTGTTGTCTCTGTCTCAGTACATGCTGTAATTGTTTTTTTGGGCTCAGTCATTACTAACATTTGGGAAAGGTCTTGTGCATTCCATTGCAAATTAGATTTGCAGTGTAAAGACTGTATGTTGATTATACAGATTACAATGAAATGTTGAATCAAAAAATTCTTGATAAATGATAAAACCTTCCCCCATACATTGAAAGAATCAAACCTCAAAAAGGACAAAAAAGCACCAAAAAGGGCAATAAAAGTAGTTATAAGATGGCTTTTTAGGAAGAAAAGTATGAAATTAGAGTAATTATTTACTGTTTTTTTCTGCCATAGCTCTCAAATAATTGTCATATGGCGTACTTTTATGATACATTTACTGTGCTTTTTTGGTCCATTTGCTCACTGTCTACTAGCATTGAATGGAAGGGAGCAGCTTGAACATTCAGTTAAATGTCTCCTTTTACGCTCCATGAATAAAGTCATCTAGGTTTCAAACTACATTAATGTGAGTAAATGATGACAGAATTCACACTTTTGGGAAACTATACCTTTAAGACTTCCAATTAAACTTGAGTAGGACATGTACTGATTTGTGACCCTTTAACTATTTATTTTTGGTTTTAATAATGACTAGTTTTTTCCAGTGATGTGGATAGCATAACCAAGCTGTGGTCACAGTGGAAAACAGCTCTTCCAGAGGTGCTCTAGCATGTATGCAGTACGTTTAAAACACACATTAAATGCGCACACACATGTGGTTTCTATAATTAACTCTTATGCTGAAGTCACTCTGGAATTCTGTCTATTAGACGGGTCTCATAAGTGCTGTTTCCTCAATTTGTAATTGTGTGTGTGGTGTGTAAGTGTGCATATATGTTACCTTTTATAGGTTTTGGGTCAGTAAGATTTTCAAAGAAGTCTTTTATATTCAGCAAGGCTGCATTTATTTTTGATACAGTATAACAGTAATATTGAGAATATGTTTTCAGCCTGTACGCCAGTCTTCAGTGTCACATGATCACTCAATCAATATTTTTTTGTTTAATTTATCTTGAAAAAATCTTACTGACCTTAAACTTTAAGCGGTAGTGTTTTAGTGTGTTCATGTATGTTTGTTTGAATAAACGGTGTTCCATAATTGCGTCTATCCATTAAAAACTCTAAATCAGGATGTACTGGTGCATTTTGTACAAACAAATGATGCTTGAAAATTAATTTGAATCACCATCATCATTAAGCAGTTCACACATTCTTCCTGAAAGAAAACAAGTTCTCAGACAAGTGTTTTGTTCTCTTTTCAGAGAAATTATGATTAATCCTTGAAAAGGAAGAAGGGAAGCCATGTCATTCTTTGGCTTAGACTGTGCGCGGAAGAAAGAAAGAGGTACATGCACAGCTCTGACATCAGAACTAGCAAACCAAAGTCTTTCATCACTCATTTTTGTGATGTTAAAGGGGTCATATGATGCGATTTCAATTTTTCCTTTCTCTTTGGAGTGTTACAAGCTCTTGGTGCA